TCTCCTTGCATGTTATACAGAAGCTCCTCTTCCCTTACTTCTGGGCTGACCTGAGATACTTGCTGAAGGTACTGATGTATGGGCTGAGAGTGGAGATGTACCGGCAGCAAGGGAAGGTTGTCACCGTCCTGGACAAGTTTGTGAAGCTGGCTGAGAAGCAGCCCCACAAGCCGTTCCTCATCTACGAAGGGCAGGTGCACACCTACAGGGGTGTGGTTTTTCAGGTCTTCCTGCAGCACGGGACTCTGAAGAAGGGCGACACGGCGGCCTTGCTGATGGGCAACGAGCCAGACTTCATCCATGTGTGGTTTGGACTGGCCAAGCTGGGCTGTGTGGTGGCTTTCCTCAACTTCAATATCCGCTCCAGGTCTCTCCTGCACTGTGTCAGTAGCTGTGACCCCAAGATACTGGTTGTGGGAGCAGGTAGAGTATATGGCTCATATGTACATCCAAAGCTTTTAATGTCACATCTCCCCTGTTTATGTCTCTCCAGCTCCTTTATTGGAAACCTGGTTTTCAGAATGTTCACAGAATGAAAGAAACATAGGACTAGAAGGGGCTTCAAGAGATCATAAGCCTCTCAGGCGAAATCAAATGCATCCGTGCTTTGGAGATGCCCATTTAACCTTTCCTTTAAAAATGTGCACTGTGGGAAAATTTGCAGAGTCTTAAGTACAGCCTGTGCCAGGCATTTAATTGCTTCAGTAGTTGCTTAATGTGTCTCAGAAAATATTGAAGTGGTCTACTAAGAATAATTTCTGATTCAGTTTTAAATAGTCCATTTTAATCTTAAGTCATGTGCTTCTTTTTTTTCTGCTATACTATCTCACCATATTTCTAGTGATCAAAAGCCCTGCAAAGTAGAAGGTCCAAGCTCAGACTGTACAGCTTCTGCTGTTTGACCATACACAGAGGTACAATGGTCTTCCAGGGACTAAAATTGAGAGGGGTTTTTTTTGACATATGTAGCACAGAGGAGGTTTGCAATAACCAACTTACTGTTGGCATTGTATTGTAGAATAAATTGCTGTGTTTGAATGGGAGATAATTGTATTAAGTTTCCAAAGTATTATGTTTTCATTAAATGCTTCAAAAGAATTTAAAATCTTGATGTAGACATACTCTGCATTGTATATTCAAATTTAGCTTCCATTATAGAGATGTATAAACTGAAGACATCCAAAGCCTAAATTTGTCTCAACATTTATGAGCAAGTGCAAGTGAACCTGCTGCAGTGCTAAAACACCACACAGAACCGTGACATTTCGTTGGAGGAGGATATTTCAAAATGTTAAAAATTAATGCTGTCCTGCCCCTCTAAAGCCATTATTTCAAGCCTACTCTGCCTTATTCCTGTTTTAAAGCTTACTGCCTTATTCCTGTAACACAGGTTGTGGGGCTTTGCATCCGTGACACCTAAATGGTGGAATTTCCTTCTGTCTGTTCTCTGCTGCTGCAGATTTGTGCTTTCAAAAATGTATTTGAGATTTTTTCCCTTGCATTTTTTAATTATATATTTTGTCATTCTGATTGAATATGGCATACTGTTTTAAGAATGTTTGGCAATTAGAACAAGCTAATGAAACAAAGGCTAATTTAAATATAATCCCAAAATCACATTATAACAGTGCTTCTGAACTGACACTTTTTAATTTTGCCATCTTACTTAATAAAAAAAAAAATACTTTATTTAATACTCTCTCATGAATATGTGCTTTTGAGTATATGAATAGAGGCATGGAATTGATGTTCAGGAATTTCTTGCTTATTGACTGAGCTGAAGGAGAACTTTGGATCAAAACTTGTATCTAAGTACTTTTTATCAAATTCAGAAATTAACTAATGAATGTAAAAAAGCATTTGCAAAGCAGTAGTGGGGTCTGTGTTTCTTCACTCTTAATTTGTTACAAGAAACTGAGAGTAAGAGCGACTGTGTGGGACTAACTTGTTCTTGAAGTCTGCCTGTGCTCACAAAAGAAGAGCTATGTGCAGATGGATAATACAGCAGTTACCAACTAATTAGTCTCTGAGCAGTTTTTTATATGTTGGTCTTCTTACTTTTCTCCTGGGTTTTAGTCTGCATTAAGCTTGTCAGTCTCTTGAGCCTCCAATGCTTCACAGTGTTCTTCTTTGGGACTTAAAGGCTCTCTATTATCTGTATCTGTGAAAGAAGTTGAAGTTCTGCTATGTCGTTGTTTATTGGCCACACCGTAGGGAAAAGAAGCCTTTCCAAGGAGTCCAGGTTTTGCAACTGAAGATTCGTATACCCTCCAGTAACTGTGAGGACTAACTATACCAGTCTTTAAACAAAAACTTACTATACATAATTATTGTATATAATAATTGCTCCCTAATGTTTGTAAGAATTGCAGTATTGAACACTGAGATTACAGTAAGATAATTCTCTAAGGTCTGTTAACCAGCTTTTAGTCTAGTGTTAGTTTGTTTTTCAAGTGATTCTTCCTCATCAGTAGGCATGACTTGAACTTTCTTGTGCATTTTGCCCTTGTGGCACCATTTTCCACAGGTTTTTGACTTATGTATTCTGTGAGTTCTCTGCAGTTGAATGTCTTATTCCTAAGCCTCAGATATGTTATAAAAATTGAAAATTCCTCTCACTTGTTGGTTTCTTAAATGAAGTGGCTGTCTGTAAAAGGCCGAATTTTTTCTATGACAGCAATGTTCTTTTAATTCATTTAACACAATCTAGTAACATGTTTTGTTTTGTTTTTTTTTCTTTCTCATGCAATTTCAGGCTGTAAGGAAAATATAGATTTTGTGATTTTCCAATATTTAGACTTTATGTTCTTTTTCAGTATTTCCACTTGTCTGTATGGCAGGGAGACAGTTTTTGCTTTAGCTACTTCCTTTCATCGCCTGTGTTCCCAGAGGATTTAGATCTTGCTTTAATTTGTTACATAACATTCTCACACTTCCATTCCCAGAAACACTATCACCACTCCCATTCTGGGGAATGTTTCTTGAAAGAGATTCAAAAGCTGGACTGTAAACTGCATGTTTGATAAAACAGCAGTTAACTAACATGTAAGTAAGCAAGGAACTGGAGAAGAAAAGAACTTTCTCACTCTCAGACTGGCAGCATTAGCATACTCAGTCTGACCTGTTCAAAAGGTATTCCACCTTACCACATTTGTTACCATAGTGTACCACCCTTATTCATTTAAAAACTACTGGTTAAAGAGAGGATTAAGGTCCTGCTTAAAATGAAGGCATTTTTTTTAAGGCACTGTGTCCTTTCTAGGGGATGTTTTTATTCACTGAAGCCTTGCTTGAACAAGGGATTACATTTTACCTGTTGGACAGTACCTGTGTAACAGGTGTACTATTAAACAACACTTGCAATCTATTGTACTGGAATTTGCCAGTGCATTGATTATAGCGTGTTGCTATTTGGAAGACTTTGGCTTTTAGTGGGACATCCCAGATTGCCATCATGACTTCTGCATCAAGGATGCAATCATGAAAGGCTTATGTTACTGAATTACATGAGATTGGCTTACATCAGTCCTGATGGAAAAGGCTATTCAGGGAGGGCACATGCCACATGGACTCGTGTGGGAGCCTGCTCTGTGTGGGCCTGCTTGACAGAGGTGTTGGACCAAGATGACCTCCAGAGGTCCCTTCTGACCACAGCCATTCTGTGATTCTACAATTCTATATAGAATTACATCTCCCAGCTGTGCAAGTATGGCATTTTCCTGGCCAGGATTCTTTAGTCCTGAGGTACCAGCAGAGCTTGCTGCTGCTACTAAGTGTATTTTGAACTTCTTGCCATCTGAGCTCAGAACCAGGGTTTATGCTGGCAGAAGAAAAGTTTGGTAAGAAGTGTGTCTACATCCTGGAGAAAGAGAGTAAATGAAGGTTTTTTTTGTATTTGTGAACTAAGGTCATATGGTATTATATACAAGTATCAATATCACCTCTCATATGTTAGTCACTGAGTGAAAAAAATAACAAATTTGATCAGAAACATTTTTTCTTAACTGTCTGGGATAAAAAGCTGTTTAGACCTAACATTCAAGACAAGGAAACCACAGAAGACCTGCAGAAGATAGGCTTATCTGCTCTGTAAGACACTCTGTCTCTTTGATCGTTTGCTTTTACTTAGTCTGTATCTCTGCCCCAGATGGCATTTGGGTGGAAAACAGTGCCAACAGCAATTCCCAAGCTGGTTTCATTTTTTACTACCTTCAGTGCCTTCAATGGCATTTCAAGATCCACTGATCCTGAGTCTTCCTGACTTGTGATTTCTGTTTTTATTGCAGAGTGAGAAGTGCTGAGTTTAAGGAGTCACTCTGGGGTACAACTACAAGTAGCAATTATTTTCTGAGCCCAGATAGTGTGGGGAAGAGTATGAACTTGGTATAGCTTACTGAGCATATCAACCAGGATACACATCAAAGTTATTGAGAGCCATTTCATACTTTTTTGCTTGTGAGTAACTTTCTATTCAGTACAAGTTGATCTCATAATCTAACATATCCCTTTCATCAGTGTAAGGCTCTGACCTTGCCAACAAGCTGCATTTCTTTGCTATAAAATACCATAAAAAAACCCTTTGTGCAACTTGAAGCCCAGGACAGCATTTCAAAACCAAGGCATACTTTCCATGTTTTCTCAAAAGAAGTAACCGAGTTGTGTATTCATGTGAGTTTAATGTAACAGTTTCACAAACTTTTTGTTGAATAATGCACTGCTTTAAAAGTGAGAGGGGATAGCAAATGGTGAATATTCATATACAAAGTATGTAAACAGTGCACCCAGAACTGCTAGCAGCATTGCGACACTTTAGATAAGCAGTCATTTCTTCTAAAACAAATAAACCAAAACCTGAAAATGTATTTGTAGTGTAATAAGCAAACAAGTACTTGAGAGAAACCACAAGCTTAGATAGCTAAATTACTATCATCGGTTTCTTACTTGGTTAAGTACAGGTACCTCTACAAATAATCAAACTACAGTTCCTCCAAGAGGACTGTTTCTTCCTCTCACATGGAGAAGATGATATGTAAAGCTCAGTGAGCCCTACACAACATCTGGCACAGAAGTTCTTTATTCATGGAACAAACGTTAGTTGTTGACCGTCAGAATTATTCTTTGGAAATATGTTAGTACAACTGAGTGTTGTCTTCAAACACCCTATGGTCCTGTGTGTTCCAGAAGGAAATTTCAGTTTCTGGCACTTTGAATATAGCTGGTTTAAGTCACCCTTCCTTATTCAGGAAATCATTTATTGTTTCTGATGTTCTCTGCTATCTCATTAGAAATTACTTTCAAGTTAACATGTAATTACCAGGTGTTCACATATTGTTCCAAGTACCAGATTCCTGGGCATGGAGGAAAAATTCTATTATATAATCTACTCATAATTCAATAGTAGGTAAAAAGCCAAGCAAGTCTCTGTGTAACAACAAACCCCGTAGGTTTTATGAGTGAGTGTTTAGAGAAACAAAGAACAGTGTGTATGTTTAATTTGAAGGTTGATCTTAATTAGAGTAAATATGTTTAAGTCTACTAAAAGGGAGTTCTGCCCTCCTGTCATTCTTGAATCTTAAATTACTGTTTCTATAGAGTTGAAATTAATAGTTGTCATCTTTCTTCCTTTGGAGGAAGGAAAGAAGGCAGAAAAATAAGAGAGAAGTCCTCTTCTTTTTGACAGATTTGCACTTCTTGTTACTCAAATAAACAAAGAACTTGGTGCACATCTTACCTAGAACTTCTGAATACTAAAAAATTAGAAATATTAGTGAATTTCTTTGTGTCATGCAGTCCTAAACAAAAATCTCTTATGTAGAGAAATTAAGAGCAGATAGGTAATACACTATCATCTTCATCACTTTCAAAAATGTAAAAAGCAAAACAATTCAAAGACATGCAAGAAGGAACGGTGGTATCAATAGAAAATAAGGAGATGTTACAGCAATCCTTTTGGTTTCTGCAGTACTTAAAAAGGGTGATACTCACTGAGGTTTTTTTTTGCCAGGCCTTTTCCAAGAGGACAATTTTCAATTAAACAATATGTGAAATTTTGTTTACAGTTACACTTCAGTTACACAGGATGATTTTGCATTATGACTTCTATTGGGCAGCTTTTCTCAATATTTGTACATCATGTTTCTGATATGGTAAGGACACTACATGGGTTGGACAGCTGCTGGAAACTGGAGGAGGAAAGAAATTCTTAACAATACTTAATAATTAACAGCCCTTAACATTCTTGCTAGCACTGTGGTTGGAGCCAGTGAACCAATAAAGAATTACAGAGAATGCTATATTCTTTTAGTATTTGAGAACAGATATGGAGCTCTGTCCACTTCTTCTGTGATTCTTTTGCTAGGTTCTCATCCTAACTTCTACCTAGATAAACTACACTTAGTATATTTAGGAGACATATAGGTAGTTGTGTATATATATATATATATATATACACACACATGTATATTTTTTTATGCATATCTATATATGCAAAACAGGAAGACAAAAATCAGTATTAGTAAGTATATAGTTATTCTATCACATTCAGTTTTTTAAAAGCTGTTTTTCATTTGAAATAATTCTGTTGTATTTTCATATTTGTTACTTGAAAAATATGTGCTGTTTTTGTAATAAAACAGCAAAACACAAGGGTCCAATGAACCTTGACTTTCAGTGCATCAGGTTTCCTGAAGTTGACACTATTGTCCTCAACATGATTTTGGTTCAAATTTTTTTCATTCTATTGCTGTGTATAGTGGAAACGGATTGTACTTAAGTGATTCAAACAGGCAGCTATATATCTTTTAGATTTTCGTAATTATTTGAGTGATTCCTTCCTGAAATTGTTCTGCAGTGACAGGAAGTTAGAACACAAAAATTTTAATGTCACACTCCATCTGATCTATTTGCTAAACATCCATAAAATATATCGAACTTGTACTTTGTAGGCTTCAGGTTTGTAAGACATACGTTCAGCTGGCAACAGTAGGCTCTATCTCTGTTATAGTAATAAAGATTAGTATGACATTCAGTAAAATATATACAACAGTCTGTTATTAGAAAAGTAGTTTTCTGAAAGATTAAAACCCTTTTGTTATTTTGGTGTAAAATTTATGCAAGGCGGTTTTATTAATGGTATCCATATTTAATTTTTGTTAAATGAGCTTGGAGTTGACATCAGGATTTCAAGTCCTGGCTCTGGCAATTCCTCATTATGAGGTTCTGGGTGAGTTGTGTCAACTTTGTTTGTTTATTCATCTTTAAAAACTGAGATAGTAATATAAATTTATACCCACAGGGATATTCACAAGATTAATTACATAGGCTAAGATCCAGCAAAGCACTTAAGTGTAAATGAGTCTTTAAGGATATGAATCGTTCTACTGAAAGCAGTATTATTCCTATTCATGAGAACTTTCCTGGATTAGTACTTTAATGCCTGTGCAGTGTTCTAAGAAAGAGACAGTGTAAAAATGCTTAGAAATATAAACATAAATACCAAACCTATGAGTTAAGGATTGGCGTATTTTTTTTTTTTTTTCTGTTGTTTAGTCTGGGACTCTCATGGTTTCTTTCCTGAGAAGGCAACAAACATTCTAAGTTATGCTGCTGTGTTTATTTTATAAAAGTGAGTTTATATTCAGGTAAAAGCCAAAAGAAGGAATAACTTTCAGTGAATGAACATGTAAGAAAATTTTTTTAAGAAAAGAAATTTCTGCCTTCTACCTAAAATCACATTCATTAAAGGTATCTGAAACACTCAAAGCACTACATAAAAACCCACATGGTTCTTTGGCAGTCTTTGAATAAACTCCAAGCCTGTATCATATTTCTGTTCTGTGAAATTCAGTTACTTACATATATGATACAGCTTTTTTGCTTCCGTGTTTGTTTTTAGTCATTTCTGTGCTTTTGAAAAAATTGCTGCTTGATGAGAGACTGCATTCAGGAAGGCATCCAAAGAAACCCGCACTGTAGTTACTAGCTATGTATATGTTTGCCTTGCGTCTGCAAAAGATTTCTTCATTATTTATTTGAAGTTGAAGCTTAACTACACTTCATTCTGGTTTTAGCAGTGACTTAGGGTTATCCAGAATAAAGTGGTGTGCAGGAGCTAGTCATGAAGCTCACCATTTTGCCTTGAAGAAGAGTTCACAACGAGACCTTGTGGGGTCAGTAGTATCTTTACCACATTACATCCCATTTTCAGTGAATTTTATTCCAGTTCATTGTTATTACATTGAATTTATTTATGTCCAAAGAGGTGACTAAATAGGGGAAATACATTATTCACTAGTTTTGGGAGGACATAACATAAGTAACATTGTTTTGTTATTTTTTAAGATCTGCTTGGGACACTAGAAGAAATTCTTCCTAGCCTCCACAAAGATGTTAGTGTTTGGATAATGACCAAAGACTCCACTCTTCCAAGTGTGCATACCCTTTTAGACAAAATGGAGACTGCATCTGAAGACCCTATACCAGTTAACCGACGGTCTGCCAACAACCTCAAGTCATCTGTTTTATACATATTTACTTCAGGAACAACAGGTATGGGGCTGCTAAAGAGTTTATATTTCCTTCAGCTTTCATCTAAAAACTTGGTTTTCCAAAACTCTAATCTTTGGTTCATCTTTTCGTAGTAGAATATCCTATTTCTTATCTAGACACATTACGGTAGAAAATAAGCATGTTACTTGTCAGTGACTCTTTATATTCAGTGTTTTATGAGTGTCTCTTCTTTTCTCTTGCCACATGATACAAATACTACAAGTTTGCCTCTCATTACTTCACAGCTAAGATGTTTATGAGATGTTTTGCTTTTTCTTTTTTTTTTTACAATGATGAGAAATGTTTTGTGATCACGTACCACTGCCTAGCTAATACAGCTAATAGTGTATCTAGAACTTTAAAAAAAAAGTCTTCAAACAAGCAAATAGACATTTGTTTTTTCTTCTTTGAGTCATGTTCTGTGCAGGTCACTGTAGAGGCCGAAAATAGGATTAAGTTACTAGCCTTTTAGTTTAGAAACAGATGGCTGAATTTATCACCAATGCTCCAGCAGCTAAGAAGCTAAGACTTTAAAAAAACTGATCACTGACATGAAAAGCAGCATGATGTTGTTAAGATAAGCAGATTGGCATTCTCATTCAGCTGAACATAACAGTTTTAATCACAAGAAGATTTACAACAAAAATGTGTTTTATGGCTTTGTTCCCTCATACAAATAATTATTAAATCTAGTTCTCTTGAGTTCTGGAGAAAAAATTAGGAAACAAAAATGTCAGTCCACAATAAAAAAAATAGGAAGGTACAAATACTATCAAGGGGTCAGATATGTTTGAAACACTACTATTATAAATATGATTGATCTTGCTAGTTAAAAGTAAGGAGTTTTAGCAAAGAAGCAGAATTCTCCAGGTAGGATTTTATTCTCATAACTGCATTCAGAATATCAGTGTGACATTTGAAATTTTAGTTATGTAGAATTTAAAATATTTATGAATTCTTATACGTACAACATAAATTCACATTCAATATCTTTTATTTACCATGTAAGTAAAAGAGTAAGGTTTGTTTAAGAGTATGGAATAACTAATTCTTACCTTAAGTGACTGAGCATTTTCACACTTTTTGATAAAGCAAGTGGAGGTTGTTGCTCCTAAAATCAATGACTAGTCACCTTAGTTAAAAAAAAAGAACTGTCTTGTACAGTCAGTAGTCAGCTGTCTGTAAAGGCAAAAGCAAAAGAGTCAGGGCTCTGTAGAGCACTTCTTGCTGTAACTGTTTCATTGGCAACATAGCCTCTTTGGTGTGATGGATTTTGGAATAGCTCTGAAGGGTAGCTAGAATATCCATGGATCACAATTCCAGCTAACAGCTCTAGTTATATATTCAGATGAACAGTAGCTTTGCTGGAATAGGTGAAGAAGCTTTCTCAACCACTGAATTGCTTGGAATTTTTAAGTTGTCACTGTTCATCATCAGGACTTAGCCTGAAATTCGTGTGTGTATGTGAAAACATATATGGAGCAAGAACACAAACCCTACTCAAAATAATGGGTAGCATAGTAGCCCAAGAATCTCTTGCATGTGAGTCTGGGTGTTGCTGAACAGAAATTCCATGCTGAACCTGAAGAAACTTACTATGAACAACCTAACCATAGTGGTTTTTTTGTTGGAACTTTTTTTTTTTTTTTAATTCTGCAAAAGTCTTCATAGTGTTCTAGAACAAATAGGTAGACTTAGTTGTATACATCTTAGGTAAGCACTTACTACATGGTCTACTTCACACAGATCTCATACCTTTCTTAAGTACGTTACAGTCACTGTGACTGTTTTCTTGAAATAGATCTAGTGTGAAGTCTCTTTATGTTTAAGGAAGTCCATATGTACAGAAAATGCTTTTGGCTCTTTGTTGCCTCTATGTAATTTGTTAGCATGCTAATCATGGAGTTTCTCCATGTTTCCACTTATTTGAATTGACTTGACATCAGATAAATAACAGACAAAGTTACAAACTTGTTGATGTGTCTTTATGTGTACAAGACAAATATGCAATACGGTATTAACAACCATCTAAGTAGATTGCTGAAAATGTGGTTAAGGAAGGAGAAATAGAATCTTTTATGACTTAGAGACCTTACACAGGAAAAAATAAATGGAGCTCTTTTTTAGAGAAGCTTTATACATGGTCTTGTGTTTTCATTACAGGTCTTCCAAAGGCTGCAGTCATCAGTCACATGCAGGTTCTTAAAGGAGCTGCTGGACTTTGGGCTTTTGGTGCTACAGCAGAAGACATCATTTATATTACTCTGCCTCTTTATCACAGTGCAGCGTCTCTTCTTGGCATCGGTGGATGCATTGAATTGGGTAGGGCTTCCTACATTTAATTGTGTTGGTCATAGAGAGTTATAAAAATGTATAGAGCACACTTAGGTTCACTGCCACTAGGCAAGCATGCTTTGCTGAAATCAAATTAAGTCTTTCCAAAATAGCTTTATATATGGGTATTTTAAGGATGAGGGAGTGTTGTAATAGTGAAGGGTCTCTTACATGCTTTGTGGTACTGGACAAGAGTTACCTACAGTAACTTGTATCACAAATGTTTTTACTTTCTTTTATATTCAGGTTAAAAAGGAGTTTAAGGCCATATGGAATATTTGGGCAACGTGTATAGTGCATTAGTATATGTACAGACTAAGCATTATATAGTGGAATAGAACTAAAGGTATTTCGATGAATTTTAAAAGACTGACAAGTACATTTATAGTAAACATTAAGCTTTGTCACATATCATTAGATGATACAGAACTTCTTTTTTCCATTGTGTACATGTGTACTGTTTTTGCACAGAAGATAAAATACATATTTTGCTGAGACAATGTAGGTGTCCTCAATGACTTTCTTATAAAAGATTTATCTGGAGTTTGATGTCATGTATTTTCTGTTTCCTGAAGCATCGAGGACAAGTCACAGCGAGGGGAAGTTCACTGGATTATGGGTTAATTCAGTGTGAATATGCATCAATGAATACTTTCTTTGTTGAAAAACGAGGTTCCAGTGATAACCAAATGATTTGCTAATTCAGGCTGACTTTTCTGGATATTTTCAGTTACACTCTTTTGACTAATGTTACAACACCAACAAAGAGAAGCTGTCTTCTTGTTTTTAACCTCTTAGCTATCGGTTTACTGTCTCACCAAGAAGGAGACTGGAGTCCTCTCCCTTCTTTGTGTCTGAGATTTGAATACATATTTTCTAACAGAACAGCTTAAGTACCATATAGTTCTCCGAATGAGGCTGCTCTTAGTTCTCTTATGTTCTGTTTGGTAGAAAAAGTGAATGTACCTAGCTAAGCTGTCATATAGAGAAAGTGCTTAATTTCCTTTTTTACTGTTTCCATAAAGGTGCAACCTGTGTGTTAAAAAAGAAGTTCTCAGTTAGTCAGTTTTGGAGTGACTGCAAAAAGTACAATGTGACTGTCATCCAGTACATTGGAGAACTTTGTCGTTACCTTTGCAGCCAGCCAGTGGTAAGTGGAGCAAAAATGGTGGCTATTTGTCTGCAAGTGATATGTACATTTAATGTTCTTAATGTGGTTATGTTAAAAGGGAAATAAAACAGTACTGAACATGTCCCTCTGCCCTTCTTTTTATGTGAGGTTCTACAAATATTTGGTGATCTCTAGACTGTAAAAGACCAAATGGCTTGAATCAGGAAGATGTTAAGGTGTTGAAGAATTTCAACCCTAAAAACTGATTCAAGTATGATTTGTTGAAAAAATATTATTTCACAGAGTTTCACTATGTAAGTTCAAAAACCAGGTTTACTATTCAATGTCTTTTCAGAATTTTCAAAACTTTGTTTCTTGGCACATCAGTATATCAGATGTCTTGAGTTTTGTAGGTCGTGTTTTAGCATTTTTTTGGCTTGGATTGTTTTGAGACCATCTAAACTGTATTTTAAAATTTGGAAAGGGTTTTGTCTAAGTTAGCAGCTCAAAGGAAAATGCCTTTTGTTCCAGACAACAAAGCTACTTTTGTTGAAGCAACATTCCTCTCTGAAACTGTTAGCCCTAACTTAAAAATACTTGTTTTCCCTTGGCAGTCTGTGGTGGGGTAACCTATCTACATGGTATCAAGTACAAAGTCTGCTAAACCTGTTGTGGTTTCCAAATATAGCTGGCTTGGGTTAACTGAATTAACTCTTGATCTGGCTATTTTGTGCTATACCTACCCATGACAACATTGACAGCCCTGTATGTTTAGGCTAAGCTAAATGTCTAAAATTAATATGCATTAATTTAAGATATATAGTATAATATAGACAGAATGGCTGTAACCTGTTGAATAGCAAATCCATAGCAAACCCTAAAAGCCTTTCTATCCTCAAATGCTTGTGCTAACTGTGTCAAGTATGAAACAAGTATTCATAGTCCAGTATAAATTGAAATTAATCTTGCTAATGCTGGCAACGTTCATCCATTTATGAACTTCAGGTCGTCCTATTGTGTTTCAATAATAAATCCTAAATATTACGTCATACATTATGGCTTTACACAATTTCTTATGATCATAAACAGCTTTTATTTGGAATACTAAATAAAAATAAATAACAGCTTCCAAGTGCCTGTGTAAGATAAAGAACTGTATCCTCTTTTAATTTAAAAAAAAATGATTTAGGAGAACAGAGCTTTGTGAAAATATATACAAATTGGATGCAATGCAGTCATTAACTCTTTGAACACTCTCCCTTTGCCTTTATCATAATTTCATTTTGTGAATTAAAAAATAATGAGTGGTTTATTTTCTTTTCAGTGAATTTTATTGAAATGCTTCATCTCTTAGGAAATGATGCCAGTAACTCTAATTAATTAATCATAAAATTATTTTCTAATCTAAGTCCTCATTTTATGATTTTTCAGAATAACTTTCTCCTTAAGCAATGTTCTAATAATTCAAAGATAATGCAAATCAGCTGTGTTTTCCAGCAGAATAACAATTTGCATTAGTATCTCAAGTTGCTGACCAAAAATGAAGAAGGACAGTGCTTGTAACACACTGGATTTTTTTTTCCCCTGAAAATTTTCAGGAGTATGTTTAAGTAATGTACACTGGGTCATAGATCTTACAGCACTATTCACGCATGCCTCAGCAAAGAGTGTGTTCAAAGATATGAAAGGCCTAGTTTTAATAAATTGTGATTTTTCTTTATCTTATGCTAACATAATTTCCTCAAACTCATCTCCCTCATCTCTAACACATCTAAACTTTCACTATGTTTGCAGCCAAAGATACCAATTGTTTCTCTTTTCTGTCCTTTAACTGTACAGTTAAAGCATGATATTTTGTTCTATCCATTTTATCCTTTCCAGTATCTTAAAGCAATAGTGACAGATTAATAGTCTTCATTTTCTAAGGCAAATTCTTTCATTTTTAAATCCTTACCAAACCATCCTGAAAGTTAAAGGGACTTTCAATTTTGCAAATAAAGTTACTTATACCATCATTAACTATTCATTAATAATAGAACTATTCTATTTATTAATTTATGTGCATACTTTTGAGGACCTGTCATGTCTAAACTCTTTGCTCTGTGGGGATATGGGCTTTTATTTTGGTTTAGTTTGGGGTTGTTTTTTTTTTTTTTTTTGCTAGCTGGATAAAGACTTAATACACCTTATCAAGAAAAATTAAAATAAAATGAGTCAGTTTGACTGGTAGGTATTGAAGAAAAATAGTAAGTTTTTGTCATGTTGAAACTGGAAGATAAAAGTGTTCACACTAAGTGGAAGGATTTTAAATATGCTATACAATCCACCATTACTTTTCAAGTAAGTGAAATAATTTGCCAAATTGTTATGTCTCCTTAAGTTTCATCAATGTCAAAGTACTATTTATGCCGGCAGCATAAGAAAGATACGGCTAACAGAAGGTTTAAAGCTCTGTGAAGATACTATGTGGGCAGTGTTGTCAAAATTGGAGTACTATAGAGCCCTTCTAATGAATATAGAATAAGACTATAGCAAGTATCTTAAGTCTTTTATTTATTTATTTAACACTAGACTTGAAATAAATGGTATATTTCTAGTAGTAGGAGGCCACAGTGTGGCCTATTATTTCATATATTTCGAACTGAAGAAACTTTGGCAAATCTTTGTGGTAGAGTGTAGACTCTTGGCTTGGCTTTTCTTAGTTTTGTCTTGTTTGATCTTTCTGCCTCCCACTCACATCTGCAACAGCTCTTGTACAGTCTTTTGCAGTATAATTTTTCTGAAACGTGTTCTGCATTCAGTTGGGTTTAGTAACCTGTTGTCTGGAAAGAATATTTGTTAGAGAAGGAAGCTGTCTTTTTTCCTTAAGTACAAGTAACAAGATATTGCATTACTTGACATTCACAGATTTTGCTGGGCTTCTAAGTGAGTATTCCTCATGCCTGCCCTGTTCCAAGCTCTTTTTTCTGCAGTCTTTTGATGATAGTGAAATTTCAAGAGCAAGCATTGATGGCTAGTAGCTGTCAGTAGCTACAAAATGGACCCTGCTCTAAGATACTAGCATGACTACTCCAGTGAATGAGAATATTCAGCAAATTAATAACTTCATCTTGCTGGCTGACATCGCTCAAAGTCTCTATTAACAGTGATCTATGAAATTTCAGGAGTGTGGCACAGCATAGCTCCCTGTATCCTCTCTAAGCAAAGGCCTTGGAAGTACTTTTCTACTAATATGTGGAAATATTTTCTTTAGAGGGTTGCAAAACTTGTAAAATTTGCTATTTAAAGTATATGTAAAATCTTCCTAAAGTACTTGCAGATTTATTTCAAAGTTGAAGGAATGAGATATTTAAATAATAGAATGCGTCCTGAAGTGTTTGGAGAGATATGTATGGTAATGCAGCATGTCTTTCCTGATTTTCTGCAAAGGAGACCTGAAAGCTGAAGTGGTTTACAAACAGAGACCAGAAATAAGTTTTCTTGGCCATTATGCCCTGTTTTGTACTCTCATAAGCTGTCACGCATTACAACATTAATTACAGGGTTTATGATAGCTTGCATGAACTTGGTAAGCTCTCTATTAAAAACAGAGTTCAATTCTACTCAAATTAATGATATCGCATTCATTAGTTAATTGCAGTATTAACTACTGTATTATCTAATTATACGCAATTAATTATATAATTGCTTAGAAATCTTCGTTCTGTATCTCTCCTGTTTATGTCCATTTGGTTTTGAGCCAGTGACATCCTTTGGCATTAGTAACATTTCCTGTTTCCTTGGGGTTACCTCAAGTCTGTAAGACTGTGTATATCAGCTTTCAGACTTTATTTTGTCAAGCTGCTGCAACCCAATCTCTCTACTAGATACAGTTTGGCCAAGGTTTCTTTAGATGAGATTAAGCTCTCTGAAGTGACTTTAGAAAAGATGCTTAAGGATTTATTATATCAAAACTCTTCTGTGTTAGAACAACAGTAATTCAGAAGAAGAAAACAAGGCAGTCAATGCTTTGTGTGATCAGCAAACATGACACTTGTTTTCCTGCTGCTGACTCAGGTGTGGGAAGGGGTGTAAGAATGGGTTTATACATGTTGGACGGCACTATCTCCCACCTAGAAACAGGCTTCTTTGAAGGCAGGGAATTTGACAGTCAAGTAAGGGAGGAAAAATGGGTCAGCAGGCACTTCTCTACAATTCACGTTTTACTTGACACCACATTTTATTCCCCATTAAAGTTTAGCTCCATTTATGTTCAGTATGCAAATCGTTCTTTCTCTTAACATTAAAATATGGAGTGGAAATCTGTCAAGTCCCTTGGGAGATTTTCAGCATAAACATTTTATTAAATACTCCAAACCAGTAATATGTCACAGTAACAGACATCCACATCTGCACCTTCCATTTGAAGTGCCTGAATAATCTCTGTAAGTCATTACGATTTTATTTACTTAGAGGAATTTTCAGTTTATTTATTGTTCTAGTAACCTGTGTTTTTTTTTAAAAAAACCTGCAGCCAGTTGCATAACCAGGCTGCTCTTAATCAAAATTGTTACTGATTTACTGCACTATTAACGGAGCCTAAAAGGAGACTTGAACAATGTACATGCAGTTAGAGAAAACAGAATTTTTAGACTGTGTTCAGCAAATCTGAAATGAAGCTTAGAAATGGACCTGGAATTTGGAAGCTTGCTTTTTTTCCCTCCAGACTGTATCAGTTGATCTAATAAAAAATGTACTGTATATCACAACAAACTCTGTCTGTGCTTTAAACTGGCACGACTAGAACAGCACTATTTTTTTTTTTTTTTTTAAAGTGAATTTAGAAGGAGATTATAATCCTGTCCATTTTGGCTACTGCATTCTGATACTTAAATGTACTGGCATACCTCTCTTGGCCTCTATACAGATGATGAATCTGTCTCTGTCGTCTCATTCTTCCTACTAACGATGGTAAAGGTTTTCAGCTTTTCTTCCTGAACAAGGCTTCTGAAAAGTTTGCAGAGTTCCTTTGGCCCTAGGAAGCATTAGTTTTCCGTACC